GAGCGATAAAGTAAGTCATAGAAATCCGTGCGATAGAGAAAGATGGCTATAATGAAAGCGTCTAATAGTCACCGCCCATTTCGCCCTTCCACAAATAAGAAGTGGATCTTATTTGTGGAAGGGCGTAACGGGCGGTGACTATGAGACGCCTTCATTATAGCCATCCTTCTCTATCACATAGATTTCTATGTCTTACTTTATCGCTCTCACGTAATGGCAGATGGACCATCGGTACTTTCCTAACCTGTATAGTAGATACCATACGCGATTTTCTGTATGTTCGTGGCGTGCAAAATTCAGCAAAGGTAAGATGAACATACGAGGTAAAAATATGCTTTTTTCCCTTATTCTGAATGTATTGTCAGTGTTGTATTATACCCTCAAGAAAATTTATGTAACTGGTACAATGAAGAGATATTGTTTCTAACTTACCTAGATTTTCTAAAATGCTTGACAAAAAATTGTGCATGTAAAAGCCCTCTTTAAAGGGGAATGATCCATACAGATTTGTAATGTTAAATAACTTTTTTGATAGTTAAAACCTACCACATTCCTCCTAATTCCGACATCACTGATTAGTTTTATTTATTAAATCTTGCTGTTACTTCCGTGTTTTATTTGTTTAGAGGATAAGCATCAATCCTGAAAGTTTGTCACAACGTAGCTGTTACACCCTGTATTTATTATGTTACATTGCTTATTGATATACACATTTAAATACATGTTTTCTTACGTATATCTATGATGCATTTATTTGTTTTATTGTTGAACTGATACATTTCTTTGCAATCGCAGATTCCTTTCGAGCATTCTGATCCACTTCCTAATATCTCAGTGCACTGAGCGTTATCTACACAGGATGACCTTAATCCTTCAGCCAATGGAAGACACCTAGAACCCTTAATGCTTGCAACGTACCTTTTCATACAACTGCATTTTGAATTGAGGCATTCTGAGAAAGGTACGAAGGCACATTCGCCATCGTTATTACAATTTTGATCTAGTTCTAAAAAATAAATAATTTGTTAATAATGATATTTTCATAGCCTCAATAAAAAAATATAGTCCAAGACGGATCTGTTTTGAGGTGAATGTGGGAGGGAGCAAGCAATATTTTTCTGGATTACTTTCAGTACAACTCACACAATAAAACTGTAGATCCCTAGATCTGGGCGAAGACCGGAACATTTTCAAAACTGCAAAAATGTTTTAAAAATTTTAAAAAATATCTATTTTATCTGAGTTTTTTACTTATATATTGGAACCTATGCATTTTTGAAGAATATTGAAGGGGAAAAAAATTTAAGAATTGAATTTTGCACAATATACTGAAAGTTAAAAATGTTTAAATTTATTACCGATGTCGCAAAACAGCAACAATTGATGAAAGAAAGGCAAAATAATCAATCAAAATAATTTTTTTTTAAATATTTTAATTGTTCCGATGGCATTCTAATTTTGGTAAAAAAAACTTTGGAGTATAATAAAACAACACACCAAATTTCATTAAAATCGGTTCTATAGGCAGTTTACGCAAAATAATTTTTTGAAAAAAATTTTGAAAAACATTTTTCGAATTTTCAAAATAATGTTGCACAGCCTCAAATAAAGCATCTAGATACTTGAAAATTTTGTCACATAGAAAAGAACGCTTATCCTGTCAAATAGTTTTTTTTTCCAAATTATAATTTTAAAGTAGGTACTACTTTTTCTTAATTTTATCTGTATTTAACAAAAAAAATTGTTTAAACTAAACTACTAACTAACTGTAATAATTGCAACTAAATACCGGGTGATTCAGTTTTGATATTCGCGGCCTCGTATCTCTTTTATTTTAATAAATAGCTATAACAAACCTTATATATTTTTAAATCGCTGCTCAAACTCTATCAGATGATATTATGAGATCGTCTCCATGGTAACATGTCAAAATTGCTGTAGTCAACTGTTTTTGTTCAAATGGCACACTATATATTTTTTTATCAATTCTGGAAGATATTTTTTTCTGCGTACAGCTACGTAAGGAAGTCTTTAGTTTCACTAGAAATATTACTAGAAAAACAGCAAAAATGATGAACCCTACTTTCAGTAGCTTTATTCTGAAAAATGGTAGCCAGCTGCGGAAACAACTGAATTTTGACGTTTCTAAATAACGGTTTGTCAAAATAATTGAAATTTTATACCTACCTATTCTATCTATAACTCATTACAACATGAATACTTTCAGTAACCAAGAAAAACTAGATATGATTTTAATTTATGGAGAGTGCCGAAAGAACGCTAAAGCTGCCAGGCATTTATACCAACATCGTTTTCTGCAGAGACAAGTTCCATCAGATAAAATTTTCGAAAAGTTCGCCAGGAATTTGGCGGCAGATGGATGTTTTGAAAATAAAAGCAGAGTTTTTAAACCCAGAAAGGCAAGAGATGAAGAGCATTCGATAAAGATGTTAAATGGCCTGCTAGATCTCCGGATTTCACTCCTATAGATTTCTTTCTTTGGCCTTACCTAAAAAAAACAGTTTACTTTTTGCCCTTAAATGATATTGACGACCTTAAAAACATAATAAGAGGAGAATGTCGGAGGTCATTTTGAACATTTGAAACAAATATTGTTTTAAATTGTTATATTATTATCGCATTAAAAATAAAATATGTTACTTTAAAAAACATGATAACTTGTTTCCACAGCTGGCTATCATTTTTCAGAATAAAGCTACTAGAAATAGGGTTCATCCTTTTTACTGTTTTTCTAGCAATATTTCTAATGAAACTATAGACTTCCTTACATAGCTGAACGCAGAAAAAAAAATATCTTCCAGATTTGATAGAAAAATATATAGTGTGCCATTTAAATAAAAACAGTTGACTATAGCAATTTTGACATATGTTACCATAGAAACGATCTAATAATGTCATTTGATAGAGTTTAAGAGGCGATTTAAAAATATATAGGTTTGTTATAGCTATTTGTTAAAATAAGAGATACGAGGCCGCAAATACAAAACTGAATCACACGGTATATTCATATTCAGAGTGTTGAAATATATACGTAAATAAATTTTTTCATTGAAAAAACATGCAATAGCATAAGGTAAAATATACAATATATTTAATGCATAAATAATAAACTTTGTTTATAACAAAATATGTGCAAATTACACAGTTGGAATTACAATATTCGAATTCCTTGGCTCGCGAGACATCGGATAAAAAAAAACATCGAAATTGGTCCATTAGAAGCCGAAATAATGCAATTTTTTTTCGTACCTTCGCATTTTGAACCTCTGAATTCAGTCTCGGAGCGAAAGCCCCCTTCTCCACTTTTCGTGTTTTGAGTCACTTATGGATATGAAATTTTTTTCCAGCCTAGAACTCGGAAAAACGAAGCCACTGGATCAAAGATTATTGCTAAATTGTTTATAAATTAACGGTAAATGCTGATAAACTTTATAACCTCTTATATCTCGAGAACCAGTAAACGTTTAACTTTTTTTAAAAAAAAAAAAGAAGCGTTTTTCCGAGTACTTTAAAAATATAATTTTTGAAAAAAAACTAAATTGCATATTGATAAATGTAATCAAATTATTTAAAAATAAAAAAAGAGTGTTTACTTTAAAAATTTCTGTGGCCGTCCTAATCAACCGATTTCAATTTTTCAAAAACCATTTGAAAGGTTGAGCGGTATTTTCTATGTAAAAAATTTTTCCAAGTATCTATTTATTTGAGGCTGTGCAACATTTTAAAAATTCGAAATTTTCTTTTCAAAATTTTTTTCAAAAAATTATTTTGCGAAAACTATAGAACCGATTTTAATGAAATTTGAGGTGTTGTTTTATTATACTGTAAACATTTTTTTCGAAAATTAGAATGCCCTCGGAGCAATTAAAATATTTTTAAAAAATTATCCAAAATACTTGATTATTTTACATTTTTTTCATTAATTACACAGGTTTACAAAAAAAAAAGTCCGGACTATTTGACCGGACCATGGTATTCCGAGGTATTTTTGCGTCCTGAATCCGATCCCGGGGTCGGCTGAGCCCCATCATGTCAGAGAAACGAGATTTCAAGGTCAATTAGAGGCTAAAATGGCCATTTTTTGGAACTGGACCCGGGACAATTTCTCAAGGGATCTGTTAAGTTGGAAGGTGACTGTTTAGGTCATGAATACCTTCCAAACATTGGAAAGGAGCCCTAAATCTCGACCGGGACTATCACAGAGCCACCCCAGTGGATAAAATGTTGCCATGATTGTTGTACCTCGCAGATTTCGATCTCCCTGTCAAGGCATCCAATTTCGGCAATCCGTTCGCTGTGAGATATTGACAGTGGACCCAGCACTGACCCTAATGGCCTTGGAACCTTGGAGTCATGCTCTGGGTGCTGCTCAGGGCAGGCCCATTTCCTGATTTATTTATTTTACTTACTTTTTATTTATTTAAGGGGCATAAGAGAAAGGCACTTAGAAGGAGTTTTGAGCAAACCTGTAGACCCCATAAACAAGCGCGGAAAGATTGAAAAATTGAGAGGGAGAAACGTGAGAGGCAAGGGGACTCACTGTAAACAAGCACCCCGAAGGGAACAGAATCTGCAAAAATTGGGAGGGAGAAAACTGAGAGGCAAGGGGACTCACTGTAAGCAAGCACCCCGAAGGGAACAGAATCTGCAACGTCCACGTCGTTGTTCTTGGGTGATGCTAATAGCAGAGTTCAGTTTAATAGTAATGCTGCGTTCACTGTCAATACCTCACAGCGAACGGATCGACGAAGTTGGATGCCTTGACAGGAAGATCGAAATCCGCGAGATACAACAATCATGGCAACATTTTATCCATTGGGGTGGCTCTGTGATAGTCCCGGTCGAGATTTAGGGCTCCTTTCCAATGTTTGGAAGGTATTCAAGAACTAAACAGTCACCCTCCAACTTAACAGATCCCTTGAGAAATTGTCCCGGGTCCAGTTCCGAAAAATGGCCATTTTAACCTCTAAATGACCTTGAAATCCCGTTTTTCTGACGTGATGGGGCTCAGCTGACCCCGGGATCGGATTCAGAACGCAAAAATACCTCGGGATAGCATGGTCTGGTCAAATAGTCCGGACTTTTTTTTTTGTAAACCTGTGTATTGATTGCTATTTTGAAACATCGGTAATAAATTTAAACATTTTTATCTTGCAGCATATTGTGCAAAATTCAATTCTAAAACTTTTTTCCTTTTCAATATTCTTCCAAAATGCATAGGTTCCAAAATATAAGTAAAAAAACTCATTTTTGCAATTTTGAAAATGTTCCGGATCTGGCGCAGATCTAGGGATCTACACTTTTATTATGTGAGTTGTACTGAAGGTATTCCAGCAAAAATTAGTTTCCCCCTCTTACATCGAAGAAGTGGGATATTTCGACAGATCCGCCCTGGTCTAATGGTGATTTAGAATAATTTAGAGTATAAATAGACGCTTCTGTTAACTATTTTAAGTGACAACAATATTTATACCGGACGTGGACACGGGCTCAGAAATGAGGAAGCTTAACTAAACTTATTAACCTAACCTAATGTTAACTGCTTTATTTCGCCACTAGGGGACGTAATAATTTGCAAATAATTTTAGTTCTTCCCAAATAACGCTTTATCCAATATATTATGAAACTTTTGCTAGCAGGTATATTTGTATTTGTGTAACTTTTTGATATAGGCAGTAATTATTATTATTAGTACCTATTATTATTATTACAATTTAGATTAGGGCAGAGGAAGAACCTATTATGCCCAAAAAAAACAGACATGCATCTAGTTTATTCTCAAAAATATTCACTGACAATCGATGTTTGTAAATTGTTCCAGCTGGAAAAAATTCTGCTCGTTAGAAAAAATTGCCTAGTCCTGGATTTAAAATTTTCTTTTTTTAGTTTCAAATCGTGTTCAGGTAATCGGTTGTCTGCATTGAGAGTGTAAGCAGAGATAGATTTCCAACATTGTATTTTAAGATTTTAAAAGTTATAATTAGA